TGAATTTCAAATGTAATTGTAATTATAATTTGCACGATCAAAGATCGTTGAGTACGTTTCAACTCTAATTGACTCAACTATCGAAAAAATCATAAGGAAGGGGTTAACCCTTGGACAGACCATGGAGAGAGGCCCAATTTTAATTTTTAAAGTTTGTATTGCATACTATTTTCGTTTTTTAAATTTTACACTGTTCCTTTGAAAATTATACATTTAACTTTAGGTTAATAGTTTTGTATATGTTTTGCTAATTTGGGTCTCGATTAACCAAAACTCCACTGTTCGAAGGTTAATACTACCGACCATGAGAGTATGGAGACTTGGTTAAGAAGTCTTTATTCATAAATAATTATTTTTGATATGGTCATCCCTCTACACATTTACTAAATAATAAGTCAATAAAATCTTATTTTCTTAAAATCTCCATTTTCCTAAAAGAGGTTTTTCTATGCCTATCTTACGTTAGAATTAAATCAAAAGAAAATAATTGGCCTCTTTGTTATCAGTCAAAGGTCGTTCTTCCTTACCTGTTTGTTTATTCGACATTTAGCAAAATATTGTTTATTTACTTTACATTTGATAACGTATCGTTATAATGTATCTACAATGTATATAAAATTTGCAATTTATGATTTGGATATTCGATGATACTTTTTGAAAATGTTTATGAAATGATAATACGAGGGTGTGCGCATCCGTCGTATCGGAGGATTACCGCGAACGAAGTTCAACACAAAGGACATTTTTATGTAAATCCTTCAACGGATAGACAATAATTCTAGGTATTAAATGACGGGACGCCGAGTAAATCTGAAATCTCTGGTGAGATACGGCACACGGCAGAAAAATATAGAATTCAAGAAGTTTTCTAGCAGAAATGAATGAAAAAGGTGAAAATATTCCAAATTAAATAATAAAGATAGATAGAATTGCAAGAGGCGCGAAACGGAACGAAGAATCAGCCTGAGCGGAAAGAAAACGAGCAAAAGGCAGGAACCGAGGATCGACGCGGATCCTCTCCCGAATTCTTCAATCGATTGTTTGCAGTGGAATCGGGCGCAGGACAAGCGTGGAGAGGTATTTGCCCCGATGAAAGGCCCTTTCAGGCCGAGACAAAAGCGCCGCCGGCTTTCCAAGCGCGATCGATCCGCGTCTATGATGGGACAGATGGAACCTGTGAGCGAACAAATTCGAGCAGCCGTTTTCAAATCGGCACTTTGCGTCGCGATGCGACACAATCGGGAAAGCACCATGATCGCGGGCCTCATTCGTTACGGGTTGAGCAAAACGGAAGATCGGAAGGGCCTGCTCTTTGATTCTAAAACGAAAGCAGATATGTAAAACATATCATTTATCGTACTGGTTCTTGTTTTTAGTGTTTAGTGAATAAGGGTAGAATGTCATTTTTGGGATTAAATCAATATTAGAAAAGTTTTGTGTATTTGGAGAATTCAATGACCCAGAAAATATGAAATAAACCCGTTATGCCTTTTGCAATACTAAAATACTTTGAATACTAAAATTAAAATTTTCATAACTTTCAGAAAATAAAATTAACTCTTAATGCATTTTGCAGCATCTTTAACTCTGAAATTATAATTTCTATGAATTTTAGAAAACAAAATTAACCCTTAATAAATTAATAACACCTTGAATATTAAAATTACAATTCCCTAAAAAAAAAAGGAATTTTAATTTTCCATTTCACTCAAAACACCACTTTTGAACATTTTTCCACGCCTTCAACAACAAAGCGTAGATAATCAAATCTTCCAGCCCCGTGGAACTCACCACGCCCTGCTATACGACCGTTCGATCCATAACGATGAAATATTAATTTCTCCGTAAGCGTCGAGTTTTTTGCATAGTAATAGGTGGGGCAGATGGTGGACGAGGTAGGACAGGACCGATAACGACGGTTCGTATCCGGCTTGGGTGTGCCAGCGAGGTCGAAAGGCCGGTTAAAGTGCAACGAGAGACAGAGGTCGGCCTCGCTCGTCATTGTCGGGACAAGCTTTGATCTACGAGAGCCATCCGGTTGCGGCCACGCGTATCTCCGAACGCGTAATTAGCGGGAAAACGCTCGTCTCGCGATCGCATCAAGAAAAGTTTACCAGGTCAATTAAATCCCATTTTAACGCATTGTTAATCGAATAATAAGGTGAAGGAAATTACAAGTAACATTAATATTATAGTACTCAAGTAAGGTGTCAGTAGCAAAGTGTATAAATGGTATGTTTTACTACTTATGGCTACTTTCAACGAAAAATTGCCAAAACTAATTGTTTAAAAATTAAAAATTATTTAAGGTAATTATTTACTATTTGGTTGCCATCTTTAATTTCCTTTCATGTTTCAATATATTAAAAAGCCTTGTTGAAGAAGCTGAAATATCGGGTAAGGTGGCTAAAACAGTTATAAATTGGTTTTCCATTTAAACCAAAGTTAACTATTGAATTACTTTATATATATATATACATATATATATATAGGGTGTCCCGGTTTTAACCGATCAAACTGAACCAGTATGTTCTATGAGTAAAAATAGGAAAAAAATGTTATATAAACATAGGTCTGAAAACGCTTTATAAAAAAGTTATAGCCTAAGCTTAATTAGCCTATAAATCATCATAACAGTACAGATATTTACACAATTCGATCTCTGCATTATCACGTTCAACTATTCCCAATAGGAAACATAAATAAAAGTAATCATAATAGATTTTATTAATGCCTTCGACTTACTGTTACATTCCGATGTACCAACAATTCTCGCTATTAAATAGTATATACTAAATACATTTCAACCTTTTCGGAGGCGGCACAAAATTAAAAATATCCGAATAAACGATGCTGCCAATAACGATTTGACTGCGGTATGGCGAACTTGGTAATTAGTAATAAGTCGCAAGAAAAAATACGAAACGTTATAGAAACAGCTGAAAACATTTGTAATTGTATATTGTTAGAACATATTTATGTGTACTTTAATTGTAATTTCGCTTTGTATATCCAAAATTGCAATGACAGATTTTTAGTTATCCATAATTACCTTTGTCCCGCTGTTACTTCTGTCTCCGTTTTCCCCTACAATCATTGTTAAAAGTATTAACACCTTGGTACCTCATATTAGTATCTTTTCCTCTATTATTATGTTAAGAAATAGAATTTATTATCATTTTAATGAAAAATTATTTCGTTCGTTAGAAACAGGTTATATAGAAGCTCGTTTACACGTAACCATGCTAACACGTGTGTGTAGCCACGTGAAAGGGCCCTGTGTATCGTCTAGTGTATGGATGTCCAATGGGCAAATACACGCTAGGCCGAGCACGAAGGCAGCAGAAGCTGTCGTGTCATTACTCTGTCGCGACTCTCCGCGCACGAGATCGTGAACGGCATTCGGTTCGTTATCGAAGGGCGTGGTATCATGATCGATTTTAACGCTGTCCGGTCAACGACAGAACGATACGTGTTTTTGATAACGAAGTTCCACTTCCCGAAGTTGCTGCTTGTTATTTGGAGGTGGACGCGATTAAAATTTGCTCTATTCGCCAGTCGATAATATACCTTCGCACCCTGTCCTCGTAATAACTTGACGATTATTTGGCGAATTAACACCTTCGGTACCGCAGTAGAGACATAAAAGTTTAATAAAATATACTGAAATTCAATTTAGTTCAATCGCAAGAACAATAATGATAAATAAAATAGAGTAGTAGGTCGCGTTTTGAAATAACTATGTAAAACTAGTTACAGTTTTAATTAATACATTCTTTATATCTGTTTCAACGTCAAAATATTGTTAGAACGGTAATAATCTCGAGGTTGTTTTAAAAGCGAACAAATAATCATGGTTCGCGCGGAACGGATAGCGTTGTAAGTAGTAAATGTCAGCCACGGCAGCTACGTGTCTGACCAATGCCATGCTTTACTACTGAAATCGTAACTCGCGCTATTAAACATTGCAGAAACCATTAAACGTATCTCATACGTACTAAGAGATATAAATTGTTCATTTAGTTTCTGAAGATACGAATTATTCAAATATTTTAATCAATTTTTTATTTTATTTCAACTTTTTTATTTGATACTAATTAACGCATCGACCGTGATGAATATCATCGGTACTTCTCGTCACAAATTTCATTCAGTCGAATGCAATTACAGAACATCAAATTGCAAAATGAAAACGAAATATAAAATACCTTTTCATTGAACTAATTAATGAAAGAAAAATATGAAAGTAATGGCCATTCGTATTTTTAATTATTCTTAATACTCATTTTTTAAATAAAGTTCTAATGACCGTTTAACAAAATGATTTCTTTATATTATTTTATTTATCGTCGCATCAACAATTTAGTCAGTAGCGGCTATTGGCTAAAATGATTTTGTTGTTTTATTATATGATGGCAAATGATTATATTTAATTCTCTCCTTTTCATTTCTTTCATTTACCAATTTTCTACACTAAGTGCTAGCAACATTATTGATAACATCGTGGCCAACACCTAATGTAAAAGATTAGAAAATAAAAAAAAGGATAAATTGTTATTTCTCTGATTAAATTAACATCTAATCAGGAAAATAAAAAATGCAGTTCATTGATTATGACTAATATTGTGAGTGATTAGATTGTTGAAAACGATGATGGGTTAATGGCGCACAGATTTAATTGATAAATCACCGAGTGTTAATAAGTTAAAAGCGTCGAATCACGTCATGAGCGTTGCTGGATGTCGGTAATGAATTAACCTTAAACACGCGACTAATTTCAGACGAGCAGTTAAGTGTATCACTCGATACCAGTGATTCGGTTACGAAACAAATTTCGAAATCGAACCGCAATTTACAGCTGCCCTGGTTTCCAACGATAATTGTTGAACAATCAATTTTCCACAAATTGCAATACATTTCTGATCGCGTTTACGGTCACCTGTCTGTTCGGATAACAATTCCATTCAAAATTTGAGAATTTATATTTTTCAAAAACTTACGTCAAAGAACTGTGATCGTTCGGATCTCGCCTCCACGTTGACCTCCGAACTGCACACCCACTCTAGAAAAAAAATTAGGAATTTGTTAGTTATTGAGAACAGAATCGCGTTTAGCCCTAGGCAAAATAGGCACGTGACCAGAGTCCGCTGAAAAAGGGGGTATTTAATTAAAAAATATATATAAGAAGGGTTCCAGTTTTCATTTGTATGCCCAGGGCCCGACAAGCTCTAGACGCAGCCCTGGCCGCTAAAAGTTAGTTTTATTAAAAATTTTTATCTGTGGAATTTTATTAAATAATTCTATAAGGAAAATGTGAATGCTGCGAGTTTATTGTAGTTGCCAATCTAATATTTATTGACAGTTTTTTTGTAAAATCAATTTTGTGTTTTTGTTTTAAGTAATACTTTGATTAAGTTTGATGAAGTAACAAATGTTTTACTATGTTCAAAGTATCACAAGTACTTTTGAGATGTATAATATACCCGTTTCTCTGGAAACTATCTCTAAATGTGGTAGAAGATTCCATTAATAATAAATCCAAGCATTTCAAATAGCTGTTCCATGTGTTTCATGCTATTGGAAATCAATAATATCCGAAAAGGTTCCTTCACCTCTGCACCAGGAAGTGTTCTGTGTGACACAATTTCAATAACCCTTTTCAACTTATATACTACTAATATTATTTATATTTTAAAAATATCACTTTTTAAAAAAATTTCAACCTTTTCATAAATGAGTGCCACCTAAACCAAAATTCAAGAATTGGAGTTAAAAAATATTGCATAGCTGTTATATATTTCTGTTTTGTTTTCTAATATAATAATTGTACAAAACAAAATAAATTAACAAGTACAGGATTATCGTGGTCGTCGTGATTGGCTAGAAAAAACGTTTCTAGATGTGTGTAATCGGTTTACACATAGAGGTTTCGATTCGTGTCGCACGTCATTAATTCCGTTTCCCGTTGTGTTTCATTGAACGCGACATGGTTAGACTTATTATTCTAATTAATACACGACGCTCGATACGCGCGTATTAGCGTACCATTGTTGCTCCATTAAACGCAACACGATTCCCTGGTCAAATTTAAATTTCAAATCGACTCAAACTGCGACTGAATCGAATATTTGCGATGATTATTCCTCTACAAAATAACAAAATTTTATTAATTTATGAAATTATTTTCCTTTTTTTAACAAGCATATTGATATTATTAATTTCAAATAACAAAAGCAAGTAATTAGTGGTACCAATATTTTAAAGCTGCTCATTTCATCCCGATTCTTTTCCTTTCATCCAGCATTCTGGTTTCCACCCCTGACCAGCAGGAACTTCCTGTTCCCTCGTGAAACCCTCTCTTCACTCTATGCTCACCATTCCCAAAGCGTAGAACGAAATCGTAAGCCGCTTAGAGACTTAACGTACCCGACGAAAATTCTAGCCGGCTCATACGAAATCCTTTGGCCTGTTTCGCCCTGTTCTTCCCCGTCTTTCACCTCCCGTCGTACAACCGGGATATAAACAAAAACCAACGACCTGTGTGTGACGAGATACGAGAGCAAAATCTTAGTCCTGACAAAAAATAAGGTTAAATAGATAATCTTCAAAGATTAGAGACAGGGTACTGAGAATTTTATCAAACAAGTGAAACTCCACATTACGCAATGCATAGTTATAAAGGCCAGTTATGAGGACCATCGAGAGAACCGTAATTTTTATTCAATTTTATCCTCCACCATATCATTTTTCTCTAAATTTGACACTGCTCCTTTAAAAATGATACAATTAACTTTTAATATTTTTTATACATTTTTTAAGTTTGGGCCACAATTAACTCAGGCCCCACTATTCGAGGGTTAAACTAATTATCAAAAATAACTATTCCAGAGTAACGTAGTATCGAAATGATTTTTTTTAAGGTTATTTGAAGAAACCCAAGTATTCTTGAGTATTATAAAGTATATATCAGCTGAGATATCGTAAAAACCGACCCTTATGTCTATGGGGGTGGTTCGGATGCAATAAATCACAGGAGTAGCAGTAAGTAGCAGACTGTCCTGGTGTTTATCTCCCAAAAGAACCTGTTGCGATTCAAGACTGCCACTACAAGACCCTGAAGAAAAAAGAAATTGAATAAGAAGCTACTGCTTCTTATACACCCCTTGTGGAACGTTACTTTTATTATTTTCATTAAATCTCACTGGTGAATAGATACAATAGAAAAATTGTAAATATAAAAAAGAAATCACAAAAGCTTTTATGAATTCCCTTTTTCCTACAAAAAGCAGGGAACATCCCTTTTCCATCTAGTTCGTCTTCTCTCCATAAGAGAATGAACATCCTGTTTCTTCGTCAAACGTCCAGCAGGACAGGTTTTTCACATAATAAAGCCGAAGCGGAGGAAACGTTCCATGACATTCGAGAGCCTCCGATTTCAGGGAGTTATTTGCACCCTGGAAACGATGGAGTGAGTAAAGAGAGGAGGGGAAGGTGGAGCATCCCTATCGAGTTTCGTATTCCATAAAGTACTTCTCTCAGTCCTGTCTAGATTCTCAAACGGTCACGAAACTCGAGCGTGAACGATTTCTCGTCAAGTAGCCTGTCCCTTTGCTTGTTTCCCTTGTAATTCTCGCGATATTGCATGGCAACGATTCGATCATATTGTGCTCTCGATACTTTCAACAATCGGAGCCGACTTCTTCTATCGGCTAAATTATTTTCTCTCCACTCTCTGTGTATCCCCACTTTGTGTACACTCAATACTATTCGTTTCCTTTACGCGCATATTCTATTTCATGATTTCTCTGTGTTTCCATTCTGGTATATTTGATTGTCTTCTTCCAACTCCGTCCGCTTTTTGAGCCTTTCTCTGTTTCGTTTCGCTTCGCTCTTTCAGTTTGTTTGAAACTCGGGAAAGTCTAGGATATCGTACTTTTTCTTTTTACAAGCATTGTCTCGAGCACCAGACGGAGAGACAAACACTTCGAACAATCTGCATGATTTTAGCATTGACTTGATGATATGCAAACTTTCGTAAATGGTTTTACAAAAAAATATTCCCTCGGTTGTGTTTCCTCGACGATGCGAAATAGAAAAATTGAGCGATATAAATAAACAGTTGAATGAAATTGGCTATTATCAAATAGCATCCCCAAACAAATTTAATTGTTGCATTTGTTTATTTAAGAACGGAAAGGAAGTTTCTGACTTGAGAAGATCAAGGTAACCTTGACTTTTTATGGAAAAAGTATTGTTGAAAATTTTGAATAATGCAGTTTGCAACTGATCCGAAATAGATTAAATTTAATTTGAAAGATTTTTCTCTTATAAGATCAGAACTGCTTCAAAAATCATGCACACAATTACGGTGAAGACCCTGGATATAAAGTATTGTAATGCCCCCGCGTAATTCCCAAGCATTCGAACGAAGTACGAGAGAGGGAAACGATAGAAGAGGAGCCAGAGAGTCGGGAGAGAAAGGACTAGAGACACTTCTCTCCTAGTAGTCCCAGGTGGCACATGTGTAGAATCGATAATATCAGTGACAACATTTCTATAACGAAAAAAGTTACATATATATTTACCCTCAAACTCTCACAAAGGAGACTGCGGCCTGATTCGAATCACATTATAAACCACGCAATTAAAGCTAAATATTCCTGTAATTTTTTTTTTTTCGGATAAGGATACAAATACATGTCTATGTATAACGATTCACTCATCAGAAAATTTGCTGTCTATTATTTTGTATTGACTAGCCGGTCAGGTTTGTTGACTGTTGATTCTGTTTCTATTACCAGATTATATCTTCGGGTGTGTCAAGCGCCGATTCGGTGCATTTTGATAATTAAAGCAAGTATTCATTCATTTAATATTGTTTAATCAATTATGAAGGTTCTCCTATTGTGAGTGCTCACAGGAGATACATCCTTTTGTCGGTTTCCCAAAACAGGAACATTACAGTATATAAATTAATTATTAGTTTTATGACAATATAATATTATTTATAATAAACTGAATTATCATTTTTTAATAATATAAAATAAAATTAACAAAAAGTGAAATCTCACCTATAGCTTTTTAAGGGTTGATAGAAAATACACGAAAAAGAGTACACAAGCAATTTTAAGTTTAAAATCGTCTATTACTACTCTGATGTTTCTCGAAATCTCTGACGAGAAGGAAAGGCAGTTAATTGTTATAAAACAAACGAATTCTGGTGGTAAGGGCAACAGCAGCTTGGAAGACACTCAGGGCAACGTAATAACCGCAAATTGTTAAGTACAATCGGGGGGGGGGATCGGGCTTTCTTTAAAAATTCCCATTGTCGCCAAATAAAAAAGGTAAAATCGTTAGCTGGTCTAGAAGAACCGTCAAAAAGAGAGCGAGGTAAAGGGAGAACGAACGTAGACACGTACACACAGGTTGCATCGAACGAGATCTGGGTAAACGGGCACGGAGAAAGAAATATCTAATTAAGAGACGCGTTTGAAACGCGGCAATTTGCGTGAAGAGCTGAACGAACAGCGAACGAGGAAAAATGTCTCGACACTCGACGCTCGAAACTCGATAACAGATCTCGTTGTTCCAACTCGAGTCTTTCTACTCTCATTCACCTCTCATGTTATTTCTCTTATCTCCTTCAACTCGCTTGTTTCGTTATTCTTTAACGTCACGATCTTTCCTAACTTTATTACAAAACTGCACCTATGGTGATAAAACTTTACTTTGGGGCTCGCAGTATTATTGACCTTTTTTTTTATACATCATCTTGAAACTTAATAAATAAATGTTATGTAAATATTTTTAATGTAAGATGGTTGGTGGTCATTAGGAAAAATTTAAAAAGTACAATTCTATCTATAAGTTCGAAACCCAGTTTGGCTCGCAATCGTAATTCGCTAATTACAAATTATTAAGTAAATCATGCCGGAAATCGGAACAGAATGCACACGGCAAACAGATGAGTGCACGTTGACAATTATTGACGATAAATTTGGCTCAAACTGGCCTGCGTGTCGTGCTGTTATCGGTTCACGTATAACAGATTTTGCACATGAC